CGCGACAGATTTTTAGTCAAGCTTGAAAAGTGATAAGGTATGGACAGCTTCTACGGGCATTGCGTTTGTAACAACTTTCTCACTCTAGAGTAGTACATGTGCTCATACGATAACCTGAGAAATTTATTACAGCCTAGTTTGAATTCGAATGTCTTGTCTTGCTTTTTTTCTGTGTGTATGTGTGCGTGTGTAAGGATGTGTTTTCATTTCAGTTCGTAATTTCAAGACCAGTCATTACCCATATTATGAGGGTCTCCAATGAGGGTTCTTCAATCCCGCGATCCCGACTAAAATTTTCTCTCAATCCCGTAGTCCGACGGTTTAGACTGGCCAATCCCGATGATGTGAGGGTGATGATTTTCTTAACAAGCATTGATCCGTTGAAGTCTATTGTCACCGTAAGGCGTAAGTTTATCTCTTTTCACCAAAATGATGATATTGTTAATTTTAGAAGTTTTCAAAGTTTTGCACTAATAACCACGGTAACTAATAATCACGGTAACGACTTCCTTTCATTAAACTTACAAACGTATATAGGTACAGGCAGGTCAGTATCAAAGAAAGGAATAATAATTTTAACAAATGCATAAAACACAATAGGTCACGGCAATCCCATAGTTCCATAACAACGAGGATAAAGAAAAATTAACGGAACACAATTCTGCTTTTGAAACAAATACTTCTTCCGAAGCGGAAACCTCTTCCAAGGTAAAAATCAGACTTTCGTTTCAAAGATGGAATGTCATCATCATCATTCGGGGAATCGTACTCTAATATTCCATCTTCCTATTCGTCTTGCTTCCCGCTGTTTTCTTGCTGCTCCTCGAAGTCAGAGCGTTCGAGGCTGACTGGTTCGACCGGCTGAATTTCTCTCTTATAGAGGTACGACGGGAAGTTCCAGCTCTTGCCATCGTTGTTTCTTGTCTGACAGAGAGCTAACGCACTGCTGCAACAAATGTTTACGCCCAGTCCCTCATCTTCTGGATGCTCTATGGTGCTATCGGCACAGGTGTGGCCGACAGGATCCTGGCACGTTTAGGCACAGGATACCAAGATTTTGAATTTATTAAATAGTACGCCACCTAATGGGTTGTCCTCATTAACCCTTCTTAGGCTACATTTCCAAAGTTTCTTGGGTAGTCTAAGACCGTGAAATGTTTATCTTTGTGATGCACAACCGAGCGAATATTCTTCACATCTTGTGTCATGTAACTCAACAGGTTAAGAACATCAAATCGGTATCATCCTGAGACTTGCTGGAGGTTTTACAATGCCGTTAAGCATTTCAATTGACGTAGCAGTCGTAGACCACGTTACCCTGTGGGACATTGAGGATTTTTGATAAATTGGCAACTTCGCTTCTAATATAATTTTCATTCCCGTGCAGTAACTGAAGAGTGTCGCTGAGCAGCCCGACCGCCTCTTGAATGCTAGGAAACCGGTATGCTTGATGCTTTTCATGACTGAGAAGATCAATTTCTTCATAAATTCTCGTCAACGGAAATCCCGGTTCTCGGTTCGTTTAAGCGATCATTTCCCGAATCCCGCTCATCAAAATCGCCGATCCCGTGTCCCGTTCTTAACAGCAATCGCGTATCTCGTTCCCTTCTTACTTTAAATTCCCGGATCCCGAAAAACCCATAGGAGACCCTCACATTATCCCTTGCCATGTAAATTTAGACATAATGCACTATCAGACATTTCACATTTAAGACACTATATTTATAAACTTTAAGATTTTGGACAGCGCCGTGAAAGTGGTAATGAATTTCACCCACTTCACTGTCCTCTTTGTATTCTTTTCTTTCCCGACGTCTAGGTCTTCGGCATTGAGCCCGAATATGGCCTAAGGCCCCACAGTTGTAACATTTCTTCGGCATTGAGCCCGAATATGGCCTAAGGCCCCACAGTTGAAACATTTCTCTACAAGGTAATTACGACTTTTGTTATAACAATAACAGTAAAAACCACGTGGCCCTTCGCGCGAAATCATGAAAATTACATAGTATCTACGGTTGAATAACAGTTGTGCCTTTTGCAGCGAAATTAGAATGATTGCCATTTTATTAAGAGAGAGTCACTAATATCTCCATGCGGCCATGTAATATCCCCTTTTCATTAAACGAATAGCAGTGAATCACTGGCAGACCTCCCGCAAAAATGTGAGACGTGTAACATATTATTTTTACATGTGAATGCCGACGCTATGGTTACAAAGTAAATCGTACGCAAATGAAATGGTTCAGTGTTTCCTTTAAGTTTTCCTTTCTGTTTGTCCGTTTGTATGAAATTAATTTTAATTTAGGGAAAAACAATAATTCTTTCGATCGCTGCTCGCACTCCTGAGTTATATTCAACATTCGAAGGGATATTTCGTATGTTAACGCCCCGTGCTATATCATGTATTTTAAATTTAAAAAATAGTCAAATTGGATTTTACGCCAGTAACTAACGGTGTAATTTCTTCCAGTCGGTAATGTATATACTGTAAGATTTTACGCCAGTAACTGACGGCGTAATTTCTTCCAGTCGGTGATGTATATACTGTAAGATTTTGCGCCAGTAACTAACGGCTAATTTCTTCCAGTCGGTAATTTATATACTGCAAGATTTTACGCCAGTAACTAACGGCGCAATTTCTTCCAGTCGGTACTGCACATACTGTAAGATTTTACGCCAGTAACTAAGGGCGTAATTTCTTCCAGTCGGTAGTGTTTATATGTAAGATTTTACGCCTGTAACTAACGGCGTAAATTTTTCCAGTCGGTAGTCATATGTAAGATTTTTCGCCAGTAACTAACGGCGTAATTTCTTCCAGTCGGTGATATAGATACTGTAAGATTTAACGCCAGTAACTAACGGCGTAATTTCTTCCAGTTGGTATTATATATTTATACTGCAAGATTTTTTACGCCGGTAACTAACGGCGTTATTTCTTCCAGTCGGTCATATATATACTGTAGGATTTTACGCCGGTAACTAACGGCGTAATTTCTTCTAGTCAGTGATATATGTACTGTAAGATTTTATGCCAGTAACTAACGGCGTAACTTCTTACAGTCGGCAGGACCGTATCTAGGATATTTTGTCCGCGGGGGCAAACTCCGCATATCTCACAGGGGTCTCCCGTATACAGACAGGGTTTCTAGTTGGACGTTTTGTTTTCACCCCTACACAGAAGGTTGCCTCTAAGACCTTTAAGGAAATAAACCACACTGATGCTGCTTTTTGTTTTAAATTGTCGTAATTTATTATGTCATAAACACCTTGTTTAGTTTGAAATTGCCCCCGAGGTCTCTACTACACAATGATGATTTACATACCATCTTTAACTCAAGGTATATTGTGAACAGTAGCTTAAAACTTTGTATGGATGGCTTCAAAAATGCGTTGAAAGCCTTCGTTAGTTTGAACAGAGATGGGCTTGAAGGAACTGAGCTAAAATTGCAGGTTTACGCTATCAGAATACAAGTCTCAAAAACGAGTCTATATTAGCTATTCTAGATTCTTCTCCAATTTGACTTCATGTCATAGATCTCTTTTGAAGTGGGAATGAAGTCCGTTCCGCGATGAATTAACAGCCTAGCAAGGCCACTTAATCGATCTTCTGTCATTGATGACCGAGTCCATAACTTCAGACGGCGTAGGACTGAGAAGGAGCGTTCGCAACTGACACTTCCGCTGGCGCGGTTGGAAAGATGGACAGCACCTTGTGAACGCCGGGAAATTCTTGCAGACTGCAATCAGGCATTGCTCCCTCTTGTTCTGACTCTGGCTCCATCGCCTGTTTCATCCACCACCTTGCCAGCTCTGCGTCAAAATCAGACTTCTCCGAGAAATCTAGATGCTTGCTGAAGTAGTTTTTGATCTTCTCGATATGCCTGTCAGTTAACTTGGGCAAACAGGTTTTGAGTGGTAATCAGGGCTACGTGCTGGATTGAAAATTTCGTTTCAAGTTCACCGACAACGTGATCTATAAATGAATAGAACACATTAGTCCTGTGGTGGTCTGATGGCTGATCGTTGTGTGCGGCGTTTGCTCAATGGCGTTGAACAGTCGTTGTACGAGGCTTTACCAGGGTGACGTTGATAGAGTCAGCTACTTGGCTGATTCGACTCCACACCTTCTGTCAGGATTTCTCTCCTCTTGCTGATTTAATGCATTATTTGGCCAGAGTTACGCTTTGGTATGCATCGCCAAGGTTACAGCTCTTGACTTGTAGGGACTTTGTTACTTGGGCTAAAAATGACAGAACAAACTGAGATACTGTCAAAGCGACTATGAATTCAGAGTCTTGGAGAAGACGTGAATAAGCTGAAGCATGACGTTTAGCATCACCACTGCTTGACGACGAAATTTCATCCAGAGCTAGAAGCACAGACCCATATTTAGCAAGAAGAGCAGATAGGGTAGTAACTTTTGCACTCCAACAAGAAGCACAGAATTTCCGTACAGTCTGTCGCTTGCTTCCCTCTTCCAATGTTTTGGCAGATTCATCTTCGTCTTCAGCAGCACATGCAACTAGAGCGCTCAACAGCTCGCTGTCATCGGTGGCCGCGGCAGTCCGAAGAAATATTTCTTTCGTTTTGGCGCTGCCATTAAAAAAACCACGTAAGTTTGCTGACGTTATCAAACAGATTCTGAATGGATTGCACAGCTTTACAACCACACGAGATTGCAAGATTCAAAACGTGAGACCTGCAGTAAACGTACGTGGCATTAGGGTACTTCTCTGCAACTTTAGCTTGCACCCCATTCCTACTTACCGCGGCAGTCCGAAGAAATATTTCTTTGGTTTTGGCGCCAACATTAAGAAACCAAGTAAGTTTTCTGACGTTATCAAACTGATTCTGAATGGATCGCACAGCTTTGCAACCACTTGAGATTACAAGGTTCAAAACGTGGGACCTGCAATGAACGTATGTAGCATTAGGGTACTTCTCTGCAACTTTAACTCGCATCCCATTCCTACTTGAACTCATGACGCTTGCTCCTTCATATCCTTGGCCAACCAGGCCGGAAATATTAAAGCCTCATTCTTGTAATGCGTGTAGCAAGGAATCCGCAATAGTCTGGGCATCCAATTTTTCAAGCCTTACGAATCCAATAAATTCTTCACAGAGGGGGGGCATTGGGATTTTCGGTTTTGCGGTTTGGCCACTTTTTAGATCGGTTTTTCGGTCTTTGTGCCAAAAAACTTCGGTTTTTCGGTTTTGGTGTTCATTGCGGTTTTCGGATTTTCCGTTTTTTAGCATTTGGTTTTCGGTTTTCGCGAAAAATACTAACGGG